CACGAAAATCACACTGATAAGTATCATTGAGAACCCTGCCATAGGTCAATTACGACGCAGGCGGGACCCGGTAGTGCAACCATTGATACGCTATGATCATTCGTGGGTCTCCAGGCTCGTAATTCCGTTTCCCTGGGCCAGTCTTGGGTATTACGAGACCGGACAGCGCATTACGCTTACGTTTGAACGCTTCAAACTCGAACAAGTATTTATCTTAAAGTTCTATGCTGCTAAATCTCAGCGTTAGGGTGAATTCAGATGTCTTACCAGCATAGTCAGTTCACACCGCTGTTGGGCCTTTAGAGATCTAGGGTGGCCCACGGTGTTAGCTTCGAACCTTCTAAAACAAAATGAAACACTACGTTCACTGCTTGAAATATTGGTTTGAAAGGTTTGACCTAACACCCACTCAGCATCTTATATCCTTTCAGCTTTGGCCGACCTCCAAGCTTCTCCCACCCAGAGGCCCAGCCCGCTTCCACGCCCCCGAATCATTACCTGTAGAACTAGAGCCAAGGCCAAACTTTGCCCCAAATATCTTAATGTAAATGTAAAGGACTAATATTCGGTCCTTCCAAAAACCATTCAGTTTGGTCATGACCCAAATAAGAAAGATTGTCTTTTTGTTCATTCAGCTCCCACTGAAAGGGAAGTTCTGTGATTGGGTTAGTTCAAGTCAGATTGTACTTTAATTCCCATCTTCCCATTGGCCAACTTGGGTCACGGGTGATCACTCGGCCCCGTGATCGCTGGGCTTGGCGGGCGCAACCTCGCCCTAGGCCCTTTTTAGACAACATGCGCTTTTCCCTATGCCAACCAAGGCGATTGAAGTATGGCTTCCAGAAAGGCCCTTGGTACGGCAAGAGTTGCACCATTGGCCGCCGGCCTCTCCAATCCAGCACCACACCGAGAGTCTCGGGGACCCTCCCCTAGGTGTTTTGAGATAATTAATGTCTCTCTAATTATGATATAAGTTAGCTGAAAGAGATTTAAGTCTCCAAAAACCATCAAGTGATCATTCAATGCCGAAACGAAGCTCTGATTGCGTCGCTACTCAACGGTTGGTTTGTTACGTATAAAGGGTTGTCTATTTATTAGGGAGTTTTGCGAGCACTTATAAAGTTCCGTGATTTGATGATATGCGTAGCCTTTTATCCCTGTTTGACTGATGACGTTTTAGAGAGATGTTTTCATCTTAGCGAATCCCTATCATTCCGTCGTGCGTCTTCAGGATCGAGCACTAAGTGGAGGGTATCATAAAAAAATGTGTTTTACTAGTTGATAAACCAAACTCTCGCTCCGTGAACTTATTTCGCTGTGAGGTCACGGTTTGTGGTCCCTTCTTTACTTATTCTTGTGAGTCCAAAGTGTGTAGAGAGTTAGATTTAATGGCTATTACCATGCCGTCGTGGGCCAAATATGTCCATCTGCGGAACGCACGAAGGCGTAGTTTCGAGCCTTAGCCTCCCACTATCTTAATGTGCCTGCCTGTACGCCGGATTTTGGTCCATAGAAGATGATTGCGAAATAATCCGTGAAGTCTGACTTGGTCTTTAGTTTCAGTCAATCTGACTGATGCGAAATTCTCATCTTAGAATATCGAGATTGAAAGACAGTCTATGGTTGCAGTCCCTAGGGAAGGCTCCTCTCTTGCTTGGGAGAACTACACTCCTCCAAGCTGAGGCAACCCGAGCAATATGAAGGAAACAAAGTAAGTGATCGCCCTGAATATTTATTAGTATAGGTGTTGTGACAGATTGTGTAGGAGAATGAGCAACGCATACGCCAAAAATGAACGAAGCGAGATGAAACATAAAGACCTAAGCTGAGATCTTCACTGCTCAGGACATACAGTTCTCCCACTAGTCGACGGGATTTGGACAGATATGAAGAAGTGACTTGAAGAAAAGCTGCGAAGATCAGCAGTCGGTTAGGAGTTGTTGAGGTTTGTGGCCGCCGCGGATGTAAGGATGAGTCATAACGTTCCAGGATATGAGAGAACAATGACGTAGTAGAAAGCTTGACAGCTTTGATCTTTCAGCCTTGTTTGGAGCACCTGTTTGGAGCCCCCCCATGTCGATTTCACTCTGGGAGGGACCAAATTTTTCTCACAAGCAAGCCTTTCTTTTCGCTCCCGGTCCCCGGGGACTCAGTGTTCGTGGTCGTCTGTAAGCGACCACGTCTCCTCTTAGTTAGTAAAGAGAATTTCTTTTTTTCTTTTTGCAAAAAAGTTGTCTTTCAACGATTAGCGAGCGAGTTGCAGGAGCTCGGGGGACCTGCTGTAGATACAAGGAGAAGGCCGAGGAGGTTGAGTATATTACTTGAAGACTTGAAAATTTATATGTAGTGATGAGGTTGAGATGAGATTAGCGACAGTGAGCTGATGTTGCTGTTAGAGATCGAAGTTGTGATGCTGACATTTGGTGTTGGTCAAGACCCCAAGAGGTTGTGTGTGATGTTTATAAGTGCTGCGTAGCGCCCAGGACAAGCACGTAAGACCAAGTAGATGTCGCACATGTTGCGTGCGGATGAACTAGCGGCTCTGTTTACAGTTTCATGCATGACTTGCAGTGAGGCTCAACCGCGTTTGGAAGCTCGGTGCCAAGGGGCAAGTTGAGGATCCAAGGTCAAGAAAGATCCATTACGACTTCCACGCGAGTTTCATGCTTACGTCTCTGGCCGATGACATGATGGATCCAAGTATGCTCTCACGCCGCATCAGGTTCCAGTGAGGTTCTACGCTCTGCTTACAATTGCAACTCGTATAACTGACCCGGATGGGTTGGTCAGTAAGGTGATCCTGATCAGTAAGCATCTAGAGGGAACGGAGTCCCTGTTGGTTTGTTGAGAGAACTGTTTGATGGCCCAACTTTCCTACGTGATTGCAGGAAAGCTTCCCTTACGTGACGCGGATATGGGGTGCTCAGGCTAAAAATAGCGGATGTACTAGGTTCCAAGGTCCCCCCTGTGAGAGGTGAGAAGTGAGATCACTAAACTAATAGATACATTACCGGATAATGCAACTGACTGTGCCTTCTAGTTCCAGTTGGATAGTTGGAGGTTGGAGGTTGGAGGTTGGAGGTTTTCTTATTCGGCGTTATATTAATATCGCTATGCGATTGTTGCTAGAAATTCACTGGATGTGATGTACCAAAGGATCAGATCTGGTTATGTTCCTTAGTGGTTTTATCCACACTCGAACTCATAACTGCCGTCCTAAATGCGCCCTCCAAGGACTGTGAAAGATATCAAGTGACTAGGAGGCCATGATCATAAACCCGAGGCCGCATCGTGGGGTCTGAAGTCTTCTTCGCGGGAGTCCGATTCAAGAGTAATTTGTCAATATATAAGAAGTGCAGTTTCTATTGCAGCCTATAGTTCCTTGTTTCGAACGTGCATGGGCCATGAAATCGTCTAGGGCGCATGAGGCTTAGATTTCCCCGTTATAAGTCTGTTGGTTGGTCTGGATTGACGAGAAGCACATCACCCTGCGGAAGTGAGTTAACGGAAGAGGCGCCGTAGAATATCTGATGACACCAATTGCTCGCTAACCCTTCCAGAAGGTTCCTATCCGGAGGTGTCTGCATGCTTCTAACCCTTGGTTTTAGTTTGTGAGTCTCGCGGGATGGTGGAGGCGTGCTTGCTGTTTTTTGCCCACATGGGCCGAGTTCTGAATAGATGGAGAGGATTGGGAACATTGCTCTGGATATGGGTACTTGGGACGTGGTGCAGGCTACTTATATGCCAATGGATCATAATATAGAGGCGTTTTTTATCCACATTAGTCACGCGCACTGCATGCGCACGAAAGCAGATACTTTTCCACCTAGCCAATTGGTGCGAAACATTCTTGATTGGTAATAGCGCTTGAAAAACGTAGCAACGGGTGTGATGGAAATCGGGAACAAATAATACGTCTATCATATTGCGATTATGCAGTCACAAAAAGGGATTTCTTTTGAAACCTTTTAAGTCACTCAGTCCGTTTCGTAATGCGGTGCAGATCGACCATACATAGCTGCCGACGTTGTCTTCCAGAAAGAGTAGAGAAGAAAAAAAGAAAATGAAGGGGAAAGTGCAGGCGTTAGGGCTCGGGCAAGCTCGAGAGTTGTACAGTCGTTTCTGGGTCAACGGCGAAACTGGCTCGATAACGAATGACTACCCTTTGGGCTGATGGTCCTCAGTCAATGCAAATGGGCCGGCGCGCTTTTGTTAGCTTTTGTTGTCTTCGATTGGCCTATTCGCCATCGAACCGGTTTCGTCGTTGACCCAGAGACGACTGTACCAGAGGTTACCACTTATAGATGTATACAAACCAATCCTTTTTTTCTCTCGATCCCGTTCGTACACTCCCACTACAAGCAACCAGCCAGCCAATCAGCCCTGAATTTATCCGGAAGAGTTCATAGTCGTCTATTTCCCTCTCTGCGTGACAATGATTCGAACTGGTTGATCAGTGTGTCTCATATTCTGCTTTCGTTGCCCTTGCCCTTAATAGAAGAAGTCGACTCGTGGCTTTCTCTACTGTCTAGATCAAGTTGGCTAGATATTTTTTTTCTCTTCCTGAAGATCGACAGAGAACGTTCGAATCCTTCCCTCTGACTCCCCTGTTGTACCTCCTTCTCTCTCCTTCCCTTCTCTGATCTCTGATCCTCACTCTTTCTCCCTCCTCTCCACACTCCTCTCCACACTCCTCTCCACACTCCCTCATTCTCTATTTGCCTCCCCCCCCACGGTTGGAGATTGGTTCAGATCTTCCACACCCCTACACTTTCTTTTTCTTCTTCCTCTTTCTCTTCTTTTTACATTAGTGCTGTTGTCGTCATCTCCTCAGACCTAGCACGGCATAATATAACCTCCCTGTAGGCTTGTGTGTTCTCCCTTCCTTCCCTTCTCCCACTCCATCCCTTCCCCCAACCATCTCCACCCCAACTTGACCCCCACTGACGCGCCACAGTGTGCACCCCCACTCCCTCGATCATCACCACCACCACCCCACAATGTCAAGCCGTAGGTGGAATGTCCTCCCACCCTTCTCCCTCACCCCCTCTCCCCACCGCCCCTGGCGCCACCCCGAAACCGTCCTTGATCAGCCCGCCCCCCCGGCCGACGGCGACATAGACTGGGCCGACGATGACGCCAGCTCGACCGTCAGCAGAACACCCAGCAGCACAGCAGGCCCGCCGCGGAAAAAGCGCAAGACAAGAAAACACTTGTTCACTCGCCCAAAAAGCTCAGCCAGCACAAGAGAGCCAACATGGGAGCCGGAGGAGGAGGATCCAGACATGCTGGACAGTATCACGGTCGCAGGAGGATTCTTGATTGTTGGGCAGGGGGCAATCGATCCATTGCCCTCCTCGCCGCCCCCACCTCTACAGCCAAAGAAGAGAGGCCCAGGGAGACCACCAGCAACACCAAAAACACCAGGGTCCAACGCAAAAATCACAAAAGGGAAGACAAAGACCACTAAAAAGCCCACGCCCTCAACATCAACACGAAAGGGCCGCTCAGCCTCCAACGCCGCCGCCAAGCAAGTCTCGCCGGAACTCGGCCACCCCAAGTCGCCCAGCCCACCCGCCAAGTCACCAACCACGAAGCGCCCAGCCCTGTCCTTCGCAGACCGCGGACGGCACGGAAGCCCAGCACCACCGTGCACCGCCACGCCGTCGAAATTGAACGCCCCCCACGCGCAAGACGACCCAATCTCCAACCCCCGCAACGAAATCCCCTCCAGCGTCATCGACTCTGACTCAGGTACCCAAACGCCGCCCAACGCACCCACCCCAACGTCCACCGACCCCGCGCCCCCAGAACCGCCGCCGGCGCCCGCGCCTGCATGGGTGACTTGGCCCACCGCGCTGACGCCCCCACCCCCGAACCCGCACGTGAACGAGCTTGCTGCGCACCTCACATTTAATATCCACGCCTTTCCCACACTAAACCATCTGTGCTATGTGCTAGGCCAGGACCTGCTCCCACCGCGTGATGAGCGCTCGTCGCCATTGGCGGATATCTTCCCCGATGCGGAGTCGCCGCCGCGCCAGGAGGTGAAGCCGTGCTATGAGCGACTGCGCCATGTGGTAGGGAAGGAGATGGGGCTGTTACTCCCGGAGGCAGGTGCGGAGCAAGAGTGGGTTATCTATGTGAATTACCACTTCCCGGTGCAGAACCAGGAGCAGCTGGATGTGTGTATGGCGCACTTGGTACACCATGCACGACCGGTACATGACATTGTGCTGTCGAAGAAGAGCAAACCGGAGTTGTTCCAGGCTGCACTAGAGGATGTGCGCAGCCAGGATAGGGATTTCTGGAAAGGACGGAGAGGGCAGATGGCGGGTGTGAGGACGGGAGTGATCCTACTTCAGCGAGGGGTGGGGATGTCGAGGGCGAAAGCGAAGCCAAGGAACAAGTTAAAGAAGAAGGGGAAGGAGAAGGAGCGGAAGGAGCCAGCGGGTAAGAAGCGGGTTGCTGAGGAGGAAGATGTGGAAATGGATATGGGACGGGAGATTAGAGATAGTATGGAGCCCTCGCCGGCGCCCACGCCCACGGCTTCGGCGGCGGTGTCTCTTGCGCCATCAATTGGTACAAGGCTTCTGCGTATCTCGCCGGTGCGTAATGCATCCCAGGAGAGCAGATTGATAGAGGACGACGAATCTACAACCAGAACAGCAACCCAAATGCTTTCTACAAAAGTCCAAAGGATCGCAGCACCCCCGCCCACCGCGCCAAAGGATAACGAGAAAGAAAACAAATCTTTACAAACCCCCGAAGGGGCCACCAACTCCACCCGGTTAGGGAAGAGGAAGATAGGCGGACACTCTTCGGCGGCATCTACTAGCTTGGCAAACAACCGGAACGAAAGCAGATGGGCTAGCACTACCAAGGCTGAGACCTCCTCATCGAAGTCTAAGGGTAAAGGCAAGGATGTGGACATGTCAAACTCGAAAGAAACCACCCCAGTAGCTGGCCCTGCGAGGAAGCGCAGGAAAACTAGGATCAAATCGCCGCCCAGAACGCCGCTAATCCCAGATGTTTCTGCAGCGCCGGAAAAGGCGGAGGTGCCAGAAGGACCGGAGGTGCCAATAGCCACAGATCTCCCTGAAGAACCAGAATGGTCAATGGCGATAGATCACACCTATGATCTAGAAGTCTCAGCGGAAACATTTGTTCCTGACGATCCAGAGCATCCACCAGAAATAGAGCCTACTGAGGGAGAACGGCCGCCGGAGCAAACTCAGCCACCTAAGGAACCTCCCAATGAAATTCAACTATCAGCAGATATTTGGCCACAACCTGTTCCAGAAACTTCACAAACCCCGCCAATTCCAGCAGCGTCGGAAGTAGCGGACAGCACAGCGTCTACGGAAACTCAAGGAACTCCAGAGGCTGAACAACCAACCGCAACCGCAACCGCAACCGCAACCGCAAACACACCGGCCATTGAACTTCCCCAGAAAGAACCACCAGCAATAGAAGCACTCCATGCAGCGGCAGAAACAACCACCCCAGAGATTCCAGTAGTTTCTGTGCAACCTGAGGAGCCTACCCCAATGGAAATTGAAAAGCCACAGGAAGCAGCCCAGGAGCCACCGAAAGCCTCAGAAAAAGCAGCCAAGCAGCACTCAAAAACCACCGAGAACGGAAAGATACCCGAGCCAGAAACCGCAGAAAACAAAGTCACAACGACGGCTGAACATCTTTCACAAGATGTTGTAGATGATGTCAGGGTTAGGGCTAGGGCACAAAAGCTTGTTACGAACGAGGAGGTCAAAGAATTTCACAACTTGAATAATAACAGGCTTATCGAAGCGGAGGCTAAAGAGAAGGGGGCGCGAGCTATAAAGAGTGGTCTGGAGGATGGCGTGAAGGAGGAAGATGAGGGAAAACTCCAGGTTAAGGTTGTGAATAACAATGAGAAACCTACTGCAAAAGAGGTAGTCGGGGATGAGGCAGTAATAGAGGAGCACGGGAACAAGAAGGAGGGGGGGTCATCGGTGAAGCAGCTGGGGGGCGATGCCCATGCGATACCTGCGAAGGAGCCCGAGGTTCCAAACGCTGTGCATGGAAGTTTGCACGACGAACCGGAGGAGACACCAGCAAAGGAAACACCGATCGAACAGGAAAGGCAGGGTACGCCACAAGAAGGAGGACAAGAAGTTACAACGGCATTGAACGCTACCGTAGCTGCAGACCAAACAGAAGGTACACCAACGGTGCACGTGCTGCCACCACCGGTGGCAGTGGAGGAGCCACAAGACCCCATATCCACTCCGTCCGCTGTGGTGGTAGACACATCTTCCGTGGTGGTAGAGAGGGCAGAAGATGTGCCGGCTAAAGCTCTCGATGATTCAGGTATGTTATCTTTATTGATTATGAGAATTGCTACTGATATATACAGGTAACGTCACCACAGTAGATCCGCCGGCTCGAGCTTCAACTCCACCCCCGCCCCCGCCCCTGGAGACTGCTTGTACACCCATGGATACCTCATCTCCTTATCCAAACGACGAGGTGGATGTTATCATGACCAACAATGATGATGCCGGTGAGTCAAGTATTCAGCCAACGCTTCCAGAACAGGATTTGAGCGCTGCGAATACTGTCTCCGAGCAGGACCCAACCGTACCCATGGATATTGATGACGAGTCACGGCCACCTGTCAATGATGGGCAAGCATTGAAGGGGAAGGGCAAGGAAATTCTGGATAGTGCTATCACTCCACTTGAAGGACAAGAACCGACTGTTGCGGGGCCTGCTATTAACGATGCCGAAGATGAAGGGTCTAATCCTGTGCCAACGTATAGCCAGTCTGTAGATATTCAACATGGGGCTTCTTTGTTACTTTGGGCCGCGGAGGTGCCGGCGGAGGAACTTACATCTGATGCTCCTGCCCTCGAGAGGAGCTCGCCGTTGCCTTTGACCTTGCCTATACCTCCCATTTCTGCACCTCCGGCCTCTGCGACAGCTGTCCAGCTTGCTGAGGAGCCACAAGCCCCCCAGCAAACGGATGAGGTTCACGAGGCCATCGCGGTTGCGCCCACTACAGGTGTAAAGAGAAGGTCCAGAGCCAAAAACTCAGCGGCCAAAGATACAGCCAAGTCGTCCAAAGAAACAGCCAAACAAAAGACCTCCAAGGCCAAGCCCACCGGGCCACGAGCAGCCCCAAAGCGAACACTCATCGTTTCCCTAAAGTTACCAAACGCGGAACACGCGCAGGGTGAGGGAACATCACACTCGCGCGCTGAGGAATCGCATTCCGATGGCGCTGCTGTTGCTGCAAGTACAACTCGTACACCACCACCCCCGGCCACCCCGTCTAATAATTGGCTCCCCGCCACCATAGGCTTCACCCCCGTCAACCCTCCCAGCTCCTCCTCGCCACTTCGCGCATCACCTTCTACGCCCGCGCCGTTACCCAGACCACAGCCGTACCGACGCCCAGAGCCGACCAACACGCCGCGCTCGATCGCAGCGAAGCCGGGTGGTGTAAGCCCGAATCCGAGGTCCACATCTTCAGCAGAATTACTTGCGGCGGCGCGGAAACAAACTCAGACGAAGAGCGCAAAATCCAAAGCCGCGGTTCCGAGAGTCGGAAGTGCGACCACTACCCCGGAATACCCGAATGCACCTATTCCGTCGCCGATCGCGTCTCCTGGACAGAGTATAGGTGGTCGACTAATTACTAATGCACGACGCAGCGGCCAGCCTTCGGAAAGCACGCCTTCCCCGAACAGACCAGTTGTCCAGCAGCAGCAGCCGCAGCTGGCGGCGGCGGTGGCGCCGCCGCCGCCACCTGTGGATGAGCCCACCATCCAGCAAACCCCTGTTGTGGCCACCACCGCAGGCTCCTCTCAACATGTTGTTGTTCCGCGGCCCGTAATCGTAGCCAGGAATGTCTCACCACTGGCCACAGATAAGGGTAAAGAGATGCAGGTCCACCCCGTTCCAGAAGATTCGCCCGCAGCGCATCCAGCACAGGCGACGACACCGTTGCCTGATGCCCTGACCCCTCCTGCTGCAGTGCAGGTGCCTCAGACACCTCAGAATAGTTCGGGAAGACGCCTTGGATCAAGCAAGCTCCGCGAAATGCAATCCAATGATGACCCAAGCGTTACAAGTGGTAGTCCTGTTGTTGCCAATCCATTACCACCAGCTCAGCGGACAGACCCCCAAGCACCTCCTACTACTACTCGAGAACAGACTCCCGCTGCATCAACTACTGCCTCTTCTATCGCTCCCGATGCCTCTCCATCAACCGCCGAAAGGGTCATGGCATCCACAACAAGACAGTCCACCCCACTCTCACTCCCACCTGCACGGTCAACTATGACACCAGAGTACATCGACTCCAAGAAGATCCAACCTTTAGTCCCGAGGGACAACTTCCTCTACTGGGAACCCTCTATCGGGAAGGTTGGTCCGGGTGCAGACATTAAACAGCCCATTGGTAAGTCCCCCCCACTCCCCTCCCCTTAACATAGGGTTTCGGGTATCCCAGAAAAGGAGAGAAGCTAATATGATCTGCCCTGTTATGTTATAGGTACTCTGTTACGTGACGCGGGTTCTGCAAGTGTCTCACCGATTCATGGATCGGCGTCGGGGTTGGCTGGTTTCCCAACGATACCTGTGAGTGGTAGACCATTGTTCCAATCACCACCACCGCTGAGGCCGCTATCGCCAATACGGGTATCTCCTTCTCCTCCGCCACAAGTACCATCGCCGCTGCAACCCAAACCACAGGCTCAGGTAGATCAGCAGGGAAAGCCGCAGGGAAAGCCGCAGATACAGCCGCAGGTACAACCGCAGCCGCAGCCTCAGGTGCAACCGCAGGCTCAATTGCAAGCACCACCACAGGCGCAACAACAGGCACAACCAGACGTCCAGTCAGCGCCTCCGCCACCACCAGGCGCTCCAGCTCAAGTTTCTCCAGCCAATGGTTCTCCGGCCCAAGATTCTCCAGCCATAGTTACAACCAAAGAGATGATCTTCCACATCTCGCACTGCGAGGGCGACGACCAGAAGATTACTCTGCACGGCCGCGACTTCCTCTCTCCAACTGGGTTCAATTGGAATACGTTCGTGAGCGTGCTCACGCAGATGATCAGCTTCAACCAAAGGCATGAAGTCCTGGTCGTCAATCTGCACCATCTGGTGGACGACGGCGAGTCGCTAGACGAGGGGATCCCGTTTTATCGCAAGGTTAACGAGGTGCTGATTGCGAAGGTGGATCCGTTGGGGAGGCCGCCGAAGGATTTGTGGGAGAAGGTTAAGAGCGAGAGGAAGAAGTTGAGGGCGAGGTTTGATGAGTGATGAGTGATGAGTGAGTAGATAGGTAGGAGGAGAGTGAGGGGAATGGGGGTGTGGTGTTGTACGGGTATATGGGGATTTTGAGGGACAGTAGTTATCTGTGATTAAATTCTTATCTTTCCCTTATCTCGGGTCTTCTTTTTCTTTTTTTTTTTACTTTCTTCCTTCTTTTCTTGTGTGGTCTTTTTCTTATCGGTGTGATGTCATCCGGACGTGAGGCGGGGTGGTCTCGAGGGGGGCGAGAGCAGGGAAAGAGGGGAGGTAATTATTCACTTTTAATCCTTATTTTCCTCTTTGCTAGGTATGGTTTATGGCTATTATATTCTTTCTCTAGCTCTTTCTCATCCCATCTCATCCCCCCGCCTCTTCCCACTCTTCCCCCCCACGCTGCTTATCACACTAGGCCTGGATCTGTTCTATTCCATCTTTTGTTTTCCTTTCTTTTGTATTTTGCGTCGTCCTCTTCTTCTTCTTCATTGTGGATATTTTGCGCATGGCATGCATTATACGTATATGCTGGAGTTGTTATAAACCCTGTTATTTTCTTTCCTTCTGTTGTATTTTACGGGCTGCGCGGTGTGGACGTAGGTGTGGGTACATGTTAGTTACATAGCTTTGTAGTCAGTGGGGTGGGTTCCATATGTGGGCCAAGGTGGAGGGAAGGGAAGGGGGAGAGAGTTATTTTATTGGGCGTCGGCCGGATTGTCATATGGAAATGCTAGATGGATTGGTGAATTAAACAGCGATTGTTATGGGTTCTATATGTCTATGCTGGAAACGCATTATTCTGCCGACGCGTGAGGGGGAGGAGCAGAGGGTGGGTTGTTGGAGAGCGAGAGGGAGGGGGGTATTGGATATTCCATACATAGCTTTTTTATGATAATAATTCTACTCACTTCACGGGTAAACTCTTTGTGTGGTTTCTGCAGGGCTTTGCAAGCGCCTATGCGATGTATTCGGTGAATAGAGGAAGAAGGCCACCATGCCGGACTCAGGTGGCCGAGTGATGAGCCATGATGTACTACCGAAGATGTAGCGATAAGGCTTGGAAACAGCTATAGCTTGGTTGTTGGAGGCCTATGATGATCGGAGATATGTATTTTAAGTACGTTTGGTCTTTTGAGACGTTCCCTTCTTGGTTCTTGGAATGGCTATGCTTTGGAGGGGGTGAATCCTAGTGCGACCTTTGTCCATAGGAAGCCTATTGGCTAGAAGGAGGGACTCCAGGGCTGTTATTCATAGATATTAGAGGCTTCTTGTGCTCTTTCGGTGGTAATCAATGTCTAGTTAAGGAGGTGTGTCTGGTTGGGGTTCTAAATCTTAGGTTTCATGGGGGAACTCTTCCCCGTCAAGCTGCTCGTTCTAGGGCTGGAGAAACTTTCTGGAGTAATGAGGTATTAAAGATTATGGGAAGAAAGAGTTGGCCCAGATTGTAATCGCTTCTACATATACACTCAAGAGTCTATGTTGGGAATCATGTATAGAGAGTCGTGTTTTTCTTCAATGACGATTGTCTCTTGTAGAATAGGTTGAGTTCCTTCTCTGGCTGTATGCATGTAGCTACCGTTTTAACGTCTCTGTATATACCATGTACCGATATATAGCTTTTATTAATTCCCTTCATGACCCGAAGTTTAATTGAAATCGAAGTAGATGCCCTATTCAATATTATTTCATATATATATATATGTTCCCCTAAGGCTACATGTAGTTATTACGGGACCAGCTCAGAGTTATAGACAGAACCTTTCATAGATACTATCATTGCCTGCAGTTGATATTCTGCACGGTGTTAGTCAATCGATCGATCATGTACAATATTACTCCACCATGCGATTAATGAATTAAAAAAAAGATTTTTTGCTCCACCAATTTAGTACGATCTCCGAGTGATAGCCCATGAATAAAAATATTTATGCCACAGTTTGAACAAATTCAATCAGAAAACCACATTTTATGGGTTTTAAGTTTATTCCTATGTGATCATGAAATTGGAACCTGGCGAAATAATGTCTGAAGAAAATGTAGTTTTGAAACTTGTTATCTATCTACCTCTCACATAAAGATCGCGTAGACCATGAATTTCCGATAGTTTTACCACCTAATTAAACCAAATAGAGAATTATCAATCCCTCTTGATCCCCTCAAAAACCATGTAATATCCAGGTATCCTTAAATTCTATGTTTGATAGGCTTAGATGACTGAAGTCGCACATGCCGCCCAGTGTCAACCACAGTGAAACCGTAGCTTCCTGTGTGAGGGAATTCGACGTCTGGGTGGATTGAATTTTTCAACTTTAAATGGTTCAGGGGGGTGGCAAATTAATTATTTACCCAATTGCCAACTAGGCCTTCTCATTGGCTAGCGTAGTTACCCCCGAATTAAACCCTTACCCTGGGCCTTACCCTGGGCCTACTCTTATCCTCCGACCTGAGCTGCGACACCCCACTTCCAATCAATAACCATCAACCTCTCAACCTAAAAATGAATCCGCCTGTGATGTAAGTTACTCCGACCATCAACCTCACCACTAGCTAATAGGATCTGTGGGCTTCTCTCCTAGGTAGCTTTCATTTCCGTCGAATCTTCCATGGAAATGACGAAGCCCAATCAGCAGCAGCAGGTTCCATCTTGGTCTTAAAACCCATTGGTCATTCATTGAGATCTCATCGCGAGTATTCTGAGATTGGCAGTTCTTCTAGGGATTGTTTCCCATCGTCGATCAATCAATCCGGTTCCCTGGCGGCGTCAACTCGGGATGGAATTGGCCATTGAAGTACGTATCACACGTTAGCAACCTGTTGTATTCAATCTGCTGACTTCTCTAACGAGATGTATTCGCGACCTCTGGTGTCACCCTGATCAGCTGAGCTTGCAGCTGAAATTGGTCAATGAGCCGCAGTTCTCGATTGGAACCCGAGCCATGTCAACCCGGTATTGCGGTATGCCATATACTACTTGGTTGGTGCCCGGCGGGAGAATACCAACATATCATGGCATATCTCGGAGGTTTGAGAAGGTCTAGAAACAATCAAGTACAGGCATAGTCTCTCCTATTTTTGCAGAGAGGCTTTTTTTTTTAATATTATTTTTTTTGCCTCGCAACCCGCTGTTGTACGTTGATCCGTGTGTCAGGGATGCCTTGTGTCGCACAGCTGGGCTTGTGTACCGAAGGTTTTATATCCGGCTAAAAAATACGATTAGATCGATCACTGGGCATGATCTAGAGACGACGCTGAATCTTGATATCTTACCAAGGTGTGGGATATAGCCTTTGATGAGGAGAAATTAATCTGATGTGACTTTCGGGAGAAGCCGAAAAAACTAACATATGCACAACCGAAAGCTTTTTATTGTTTGTAATTTCGTGAGCAACGTATCCCACCTTTGAAACCATTTTCTTAATACATCGACGGAACTCAAAACAGGATACTGCCTAGCTCAGGTCACCAGCAGCCAAAGATCTCGCTTTCTATATAAAATCTTCTTCCAAAGTGGACACATACCTCACGAAGACCCTCCAAGCAGTTGGTATTGGGAAGAGGGCTATGGCGGCCGCCATTTATAGCTGAATAGCGAAACACTCTCGTGTTATGGATTGATATGATTAGCCTTTCGGTCTCATGCTGAAGATCGCGCTCATGTCCACATGACCTCCTGCTTATCGAATAATTAAATTCGAATATCTTAGGAATATGGCCAGACCGAATTCCCATCTCAAATCTGTGACCAGTCGGCCGGAGCAAGTGCCCAAGCCAATGATACTATTGAATATTTGACAGACAGATAACATCTTGAGCCACGGGTCAATAGATTTGTCCGAGCTTTGTGAGCGTCGGCCCATAATACCATTTTAAACTTCATTTCAATTTCTACGAGTGATTACCCATGACGAGATTCATGATCCATTAAAGTCCTATACACTTCGTTTTCTGATGCGCATACAAGGCCTGGTCAGGAATATGCGCAGAACAAAGACTCGAACCTTTCCTAGAGAGGAAACTGGAACCAAAAGCAAAGCGCCGGCCATTCCTTCTTCGCTCCCCGACGGAGGCACACTGTTTGTTCTTGGCGCTCCACTACAGACGAATATATTTCACAGAATCTTAATGCGGTCGGGGCTAGATATGACATCAGACTAGGTATCGCCGAAAAAGAACTCCCGGGCCGATATATGGCTCTTATACAAGAGTCTGGACCGGAGAACCCACGTCACCGGTATTACTGCACTGTTCCCCCACCTGCTCGTGCGTCGAGATACCGAATTTGATACCAATTTACCTGCAGATTCACTTACGATATTCGGGGTAAATAAGTAAAATGTGGTGGTGTGGCTAGAGCCGTAATCTCTCGATTATGCTCGCCATGTTCCCTTACCTTGGATACCACTCACTTGGTGATGATGGTTCTTGATATCTGGTGGGGTTAGAGATTTGGGCTTAATCGTGCCAAGGCTAGTTACCACAAATAACTACGGCTAATGACAGTCCCAAACACTAGTGCCCCGTAACGAACTCAGAGCTCGAGTCAAAAACAGCGTCACGAACTCAGCCTGTCATAAACAGCAGTTTTTAACTGTCAGATGTCATGAACTAACCTTGATTTCCACTCCAAATTTACCCCAAGATTACCCTAATCCACCCCAAATTTCATTTTCTAATCCGATTTTACACCTCGAATTACCCTAACCCATACAAAAATTCGGTTTACACCAGTGATTAGTTCATAACCATGACACCCAGCTTTCCTCAAGCCAGTTTTTAACCAGTTTAAAACTGTCTGTTAGTAACTCAGTTTGAAACTCCCGAGTTCGTCACGGGCCCCTACCAAACACGACCCGCCCATGATTAGCTAATATGAAAATCTTGATAAACAAAGCTCTTGGCAAAGTCAACTTTTTCGTCCCAAGTGGAAAGTCCACGCCAGTACAAAGATGACAGATGGTGTTGTTAACATCGCACTCAGAAACTACGCGCTTTCTCTGTACAGCGACCTTTCCCAGTTATTGGAGATCCTAAACTACTAGCCTTCGATGGGTTAGTAGAGCTGTCTCCCAGATATACTCCCTCTACCTATCCTTCGCTAAAACAGTATCTTCGCAGGTATTTAGTCGCACCAAGGGGCCCTCCCGCGTTTACACTGGGAGCGAAACAGTAAGGCCGGTCTGTGAAGCGGAACGCAAACCCCGAGATAACCACCTCCGTTAGGTAAATGGTACCGCCATACCTCGAGAGATTGGCTAGCTTCCAGGGGTCAAAATTTGTACGGGAACATCTGATGCAAATCGATAGGCTTTTGGTGCGTGTATCTGCATCTACCCGTCGAATTTAATACTCTGTCGAATTAATAATAGATGCAGTGTATACCCAGATTCCAGCATGGTTACGAGTGGCGCCAAGAATAGCTACATCCCTACACCATATGCCAGCAACCGACAGTTGCACTACATGTATGTACCTACTCTACAAGAATGTAACTCGACCGGTCATAATGTGTTTAGGTCGTATCAATGCTAAGAGAGGCGATTCTAGTATGGTGCGTCTAGAAAAAAGACTTTTTCATGGCTCCTCGACAAGGTCCTAACACTGACTTATCGTTACGGGTCATGGTTGTTATTATGGGTTATCAAAATTATCCGGACGCTCGCGCCGCAACCACACACAAATTGGCTAGAATAACCAAATTTTGAAACTACTTTAATTGAGCTTATATTGAACCTTAAAGTAATAGAGGCACAAGAAATCACAGTAATCAAATCACTTGTACTCCCTCCTTATGGTTGTGGAGAAAGGCGACGTTGAAGTTAAAAATTTGATTGCAACAATGTCCGGATAATTTTGATAACTCGCAATACCAACACCGACGGAAACGCATTAATTTCTTTACACATTACCATTAATCGGGTGTTAACTACGAACGTCAGGTACGAGCTTAAAACGATTACTAGACGACTTATAGGTCATCATTCTACAGCTTTCTATCACATGACTTTTATATTAATTTTGTGCGATATATTGAGGATTGATTAACGGCATTTAATAATTTTCTTATCTACCTCCATCATAAACGTATTCATCACTCCTAGAATTTACAAGATACTACACCGATCTTCATCTACGGCCCAGTAGATAAGTCAAGAAATAATCAAGAGATTGCGAAGCCTACTATGGCCCGGCGGAGTAAATGAAGGTTGGCAATAAGTTATCAATCAACAAAAAGGTCTGCCCTGTGCGTCGTCCTCCTCACGTCTCCCTCTAGCTTTGCTCTAGGTAGGCACTAGTCTTTTCAGAATACAAGCTTCCTTTAAAACGGTCGATGCATATGCTTGCAATTGACTCATGGTTTAGAGCCTTGCGTGTAAGTGCAAATATCCAGCTGTAAACCGCTAAGGAACAATCGAAGTGTAACATTGATTGATAGATAGGGAAGCTTGGACCAATAGAAATGAAAGAAAACCAGGTATCTCGTAATTTGGATATATACTAATTGCCATTAGTGTTGTCAGAGCTAGAAGTATCCGTTGATCTAGTGACGGTACTGAAGGGGCTTACTCGTTCCTTTCTCAATTAGACAACAGCTATGTGTTGTACCCATAGAGTACTATGAGTGCTTGATTAAGCAATTCGTGTTCAGAAAAGGTGGCTGTTATATTTTTTGATTGGTATTATGTACTTTTGCATGCTTATACTTACAGTAAATGCCAGCTCATAAGACAGTGATTCTTGGGCACATTTTGCGTCTAGTGCGCACGAGTGCGCACATAAGTGGGGAGTTGAGGCTCGTATAACTCCCAAAGATTATCTCTCTGGGCAATTGATAACTTTACCGAATACCGGTAGTAACGATAATTTCTAAACGATATTCTCTCCATAAGACCTTGAAACCCCGACAAAAACTTACACCTCGATACAAAAGACCTCCTGTACCCATAACGAATGGTCACTCGGACCATCATTCTTCGGAAACTCATTATATCTACCTATTTCCTGGGATTCGAGCAATGAACTTCGGTGTTTCCTGTCAGAGGGACCAAAAGTTTTTCGAATCCGCCCTTTCGAAAATCAACAAAATTGACTACATGATGCGAAAGGCGGGGTTTACAAAAGAGGTACCTTTCACCCTCGAACAAGCCGAGTCTGTTTGATTCAATGAGGATGAAGGTTATTAACTCTTATAGACTTTCATTGATATCGAGATTTCCAGGAATACGGTTAGCGAAAAAGAGATGGACCGTTTGGCAATATTGTACTGCGTGGTACATATGGGTGAAAGTCTCGGTGGTGTCAAAGAACCACACCGTTGGCACAGTATTATCTCCAAGGAAGCTTTCGACATGGTTAAAAAGCGAAGAAATTCTTCAGGACATGATTACGAACATCCAGAAAAGAGAATGGATTACGAAGACATGTGGACATTCCTCACCGTTGACTGTATGAAAATAAAGGCAATGATCGAGGAGGCTATAAAGATTTTGGATGACCATCTTCACGGGACGGAGGCTGAGATGACTGCTTAGGACGTGCACGTGGAGGTTAGCATTTCCTCAAGCTGATGAACGGTGCAATACGCCCCGCCCGTTAGTGACAGGTAACATTTGATATTTCAGGGGGTGTTTCCAGTATTTCATCTATTCGATATTATTTGATGCTGGTATACGGTGGCCGTCTTTCTATGGTTTATTTTCTTTATTTTCATTTCTAATCTATTCTCATTGAATGAGTGTTGATCAACAGCATCGGCAATGAAGTTATTCGGGGGGACATTTATTTTATGTTTAGTCATGTGTCTTTAAGATACATGTAGGTATCGGTGGCCTCGCGGACCGGGAAAGATGTTTTTACTAGGTACATTTCTAGAGATCAGATTTCTGCAGACATCGGTCGGTGGAGGGAGCTACTGTCTCTTGTGTCTTTTTTTTAACCTGGGTGTGTTACCTTAAAGTTTCTCTTTTTTTCTCGTTTTATCGGTTTTTATCTGTTTCTTATTCACCCTTTGTCTTTTTTGGTACGTCGAGTCATGTCTAAAGAACAGAATGTCCTCGACTTTAAGCCAATCAACCTAAGACATATGTATATTTCTAGGCTACGTATACTAGTTCTCACTGGCAAAGTCACTGCGCCTGATAGCCAATCGTTAAGCCACTCTCGATTATTGGAGAAAAGATAGCTTGGCATTACATGAATGGGATGAACCCGGTATCCTAAAGATCATCTAACCATGTATACATGTGAGTACCCTTACTCGTATTTCCTGCCGTTTCTGGACGTAATTGCGATTGTGTACCATCCAAATACACCTCAAGTCGAAGATTTAATATAACATGCAATATGTAATATTGGCCCATTTTACGGACGCTAATTGTAGGCTATCCCGCTGGTTGATGTGATCTATACATAAGTATCTTCTCCAGTCATGTCAACAAGACCATGCTATGGTATATATTCAGTCAACTCCAGAACCATGCAGCCAGGCACCCGCCAGCTCCCCCTGTCGCAGATGTACCGAGACAAGTAACTCTCTCCATGAGAACAGCTAGAGAGTGGTAGCCTTACTCGAGTGAAGTAACCTCAAAAGATCTCGGCGCCTTGTTGGGTTAGTTAGATTGCATATATATTCAAGGGAGATCGAGTAAATATATGTATTAATACAGGCTAGCTGTGATGTCGCTTGAAATTTTGTTTACGTGTAGGCCAAATGATTCGTCAGTCGGTAAGTATAGTTCTAGGCCATAAATCATGGGAAGGCGCGGCGTAGCAACCGCCCGGGCCACCACGACTACCCACCCAGCAACCACAATTGATCCTTTGGAGAGCTGGTTTTTTGTATAGTTGTTAAATAGTAGCTAAATAAAAATAATTTGACATTTAATATCTTGTATACCAACCCCTTGCCTTTATAACAGCTCTATTCTCCTAGGCCTGCTCTCAACTAGCTACCAAATAAATCATCAGGTAACAGTTCCCAGCAATGAATTAGACCTTCCTCCACAAGGGGCTTTAATACTTAAGGTGATCTAGTACCATATGCCAAATGGGGGTACTGTTGATGGTAAAGCTTCTTGAGGTGTACCCAAACATGTTCAATGGGATGGAATAGGCAAGCCAGTCCTCCAGAACATCTACCCTATTCTCCTCCAACCAGAGTTGTAAGACTCCGGTTTTTTGCCACAGCAGGGAGGCTGGTCATTCCCTCCTAGCTGGCTGGCGGGGTACATGGTCTCTGGGCGCCATCGATGGTGGCGAAAGATTTTGTGTTCAGGCGTTGCGACCTCGCGCCTTCCCATGACTTATGGCATGGCGCTGTATATACAAGTATGCCTTTCGCTACTCTCTATTCCTGGCCATGGCCACCGATGAGGACGGGTTCCTGGCCCACCGATGGTACGCATGCTAGATGTCATCAACATAGTACATACAGACAGAGAGCAGCCAAATATAATAAGAAAATAGAGCTACGATACCGTGGCGATAACTCCCTAGATTATTGCTACCCCGGGAGTTTGTTGCTATTAGTTAGGGTTAGGTATTCATACATTGAGGCTCCGCATGGTATCAACGGCCGTTCGATTTCGCTGCCAGGCGAGCTTCCATTCGGGTTTCACGAACGGATTACTAGTGCTTTATGATTTTTTTAAAGGAGTGCTTGGTCTCAACGGTTCCGTTGCAAGGTGGCATGTTGCGTGGTTGCCATAAACTTGTTGCGGTTTAGTAAGGACCTAAGCTTTAGAAGTTTTTTTTTTTTTTTTTTTTAAATCAGTGTTTCATTTATTTCTGGGTACAAGAATATCGCATGGAGCCTAGGCTATGGCGTGAACAACACCCCTCCCCTACCAAACCGCCGAAGAAAACGAGACAGAGGAAAGAGAACATATGAAAGAGTGTGTACATGAAGCAGACACTGAGACGAGACCCTGACATCCCTCCTACCGGCCAGCAAACTAAGAAATTCGAACGTCCCCCTTGGGGGCAGTGTACTTTCGTACCAGCTCTAAGCTTTAGAAGTCCTTTTACACTTTATATACAGTTGACCGTTGTTGGGCACATTTGCCGTAAAGTGATTTGTCATGTATTAGTCAGTACAGAATGTGGAAATGTGGACAATCCCTTTGTAAAGGTGTCCGCAGCGGAACGACCCTATAACTAGCTCGCTATCTCCCTGTCTATTATACATACATCTTGTTTCTCTCGTTTTGTCTTAATCGAAGTTTATTCTACGTATTTTCGTCTCGAATTGTCGATTGAAACAGAGAGTGAACACGACAGCCGGCCAACACCGTTAGGCTCCGTTCCTATCCCTTAAGCCGTTAGGCCGAATTTAAATGGCAGCTGTTCACCACATTCAGTAAAGATGATGGATTGAACGCTGGTCTCAGTCATACCGTCACGCCAGCAGATCATACTGGATATCTCCACTTGCAGAGTTCAAACCATCATGTTTACTGAAACAAGTTAACTGCCATTTCAATTAGACCTGACGGTTTAAGGGATACTGAACGGTTGGTCGTTGCCAAACACCTTCTGAACGGTCATTGGCCGCTCAACGGCCTCTCGGGCCCTTGAACGGACGAATACTATATAACGGCCGTTGATACCATGCGGAGCTTGAGTGATTTTGTAGCGGTGCGGCTCGCAGTGGAGTTTGGGCTCCGCTCAAATTTGGGGTATGTCTATATGTATATGTAGTCAACTCTACTGTGTGTTCGTCTCATCTCGGCCAATAGAATACTAACTGGTGGCGGTGATATTAAGACTATATTATTCAGACCAGTAGAGCACCCTAAGTATATGTACAGTTACACATATGTACAGTACGATGCCAGTCGTGAGGGTCAGGCGCGGCGTCGCAACGCCCCCCGAACCATCACAGGTACCACCAGCACAGCAACCACAATTGATCCTTTGGAGAGCTGAATTTTTGTATAGTTGTTAAATAGTAGATAAATAACAATAATTTGACATTTAATATCTTGTGTACCAACCCGCCGTGAAAAGGTTGTGGAAATCTGGTTGCGCGCGCGGCGTTGCGACGCCGCGCCTGACCCCCACGACCGGCATCGTACTGTACATACTGCCAGATATCGACGACTTTTCGCCACCAGCGCATATGCATGCAAAGCCTACTGACCCTATCACGACCACCGCTATAGCTACCATTTCTCCTCTACTCCTCTCTTTGAGTTGATATTCGATGAGGATACGTACCATACAGCTCTCTGGGATGGATCTATGGAAACCTGTACTCTAGACAGAAGGAAGGCGCCGGCTCCTGGTCTTAATTGTGTGCTCAATACTTACTCGATCAACTATGCATATGTGTAGAGAGTTTCTGGATTTTCAAGTAGAGCTAGAGTGACAATAGATTGCACCGGTTATTGAAGGAAAGAGTTCCTAGCTATTCATATTTCATAATCCCCCCCCCCCCCCCGGTGGACACGACCGCTATTGTATGCTTTACAAAAGATGGGTCCAGGGAATCCTTAAATGTACTTACACATGCACGCCATTAATAGCAGTCGCGTTGAGAAACCTTATAATATATATCTAATTGGCCGGGCAATTAACTAAGACATGGGGCCTCGACATACGCCTATTATACTTACAGAGATGTATATACATACATAGAATATATATAGAGTACAATGAGATTGAGACACGCAGACGCTAAAATCTTCTACCAATTCAGTAGCTCTTTCCATAGCCAGTGATAAAACCTGATTACCAAAACCGCCGCACCGACTACCAACGGTTCATACCGGGTGTAGAGCGAGACGAGACAAGAAAGTCCAAACGATCTCGGCTTGCATTTTCTGAACTCAATCTTGAAAGTCTTAGAGAATGGTCTAGTCATGTCAAAGTATCGAAACTTTTTTACATTGTGGCCTGATATATATAACACTGGGAGGGCTCTGTAATCATCCTAATTAATGCAAATAAAAAGCAATTTGTTTTGGGACTAGAGCGGGAGAATATATTCTAATGCATAGAAGACATCAAAAAGGTCTTTCTCGCCTTGCCAGTCCCAAGGTTTCGTCTTATTAACGTTGCGCCAAACACCCGACACTAAACAGTCTCGAGACAACTTGTTTTGTGCCCATCACTAAATAAAAGGTATATTAAATATTAACTGGCGAAGTTGGACAAAGCAATGGGAGCAGCAGAATAAGTGAAACTTGGTCAAAATTTGGCTTTAGGCTCTCGTTTAAAATCGATTTCTCAAAGATTCTGCGGAGGGTTAGGTTTATTTGCTCTTTGGTGGTTGCTAGTGCATTGTCCGATTTCACCAGTCAAAGCGGTATGTTCTAGGCGATTCACACATATGTATACGTATGTCAGATGATTCACGAATAGACTTGAGGTTTTGTGAATAGCCTCCTAGTCCCATCTATACATCTGCGGCTGGACTAGTCTATTCGGGAACAGCTAGGAAAAATATGTTTTTCAGTAACAGCCATATTTATTTGGAAAGTTTAAACTATTTTCTAGTAGAATGGAAAAGGGTCGATGCCAACAAGTACGTAGACTATTTACAACCTCTGTATTTGACATAACCACATGTGCACCCATATGCCTTCGATACCGTCGCCCTTTATACTGACTCGATTTGAACAAAGGCAAGCTTATGAGGTTGGCGAATGCGTTTGAAAACCACATTTTGCTACTCTTTGACCATTCAATTTGCCAATAGACCAGGCCAGTCTCATATATAGTATTCGCGGATATTGGGCATTCCGAACGCCCGTGAAAACCGGGTACAACAAAGTCAGACGTGATCATGACCGCTTCGAACCCCCCTCCACTATTCCTGTGTCCCCAACTCCATAGTTTGCTTTCTTGGATCTCACTGCATCGTAGGCCTGATATGTCCCCCCAGAAACTGCAGTCATGCAGCACCGATCTCAATTGAATGCTTGTTTCAATACAACAAGACACAACTGGAGTAGTACTATAGTGGTGTAGGAAGATCAATGTACTCGTATTTCCCTGATGTTTTTGAACTGGATGGGCCACTATTGTATATGTACATACACCGAAAAATCGTGAACTTGGCGTATTTTGTATGGTATGCAATATTAGGACTCGTGTCCACAAAGGTCAGGAGGATACGAGTACATATAGTACTAGGACAGAAGTTTTGGTAATATACCCTTTTTACAGCCAAAGTAGCCATGTTTAGCTACCCGAAGCAACCACCCAACCTCATCCAAAAAATTTCAAAGTTTCAAGGACAGTTGGGAATTATCTCAAGACGGAGCGCAGAGAATTCTAGAATTTCAAGTCCATTCTTCAGGTGTGTGCAATCTAATTTTTAAAGTCATGATTTGAGTGTTTCTGATTTTGTATGGTGTTCCAATGCAAATTTTGTGTTGCAACGGCAACCAAAATTTACCAAAACTTCTGTATCCCAACTGTACCTAGCTAGTGCGCATGTTGTGAACAGAAAACCGGGGTTCGAGTCCCACGCCCGAGGCCTCCCATGAGTCACATCTGTGAATTCCAAATATACGAGACATGGGGCTGTGGAATCGCAAATCCTTGGTGAAACATGCGCCAGTGCGGTGGGTCAAAGAACATGTCTCAGCAAGTACAGTTTCCGGTAGAATTATTGCGAAAGTCAGAGGATTTGTTGGTCTGTGCTCGGCCAATAGGACTATCGGGTCACGGAAACCCACTTTCGCAATAATTCTACCGGAAACTGTACACGCATCCACCTTGTCAGTACGGGAGTTATAATAGGGTTATGACAGAGTGATATACAGCTATATCTCAAAATTACCTGGTCTACACTATTCAACCAATCGTGAAGGAGATACTCGAACCCAGCGTAACTACCCCGGCTTTTTGGTGAACAGGGGTTTGATTTGTTCCAGATCCCTTAGACGGAGGAAAGTGGTCAAATTCGCGGCCTCCCTCTTTCAGTAACCACTAGCCTTCTGTGGTAATTGTTGTAAATTCGTGATTGGCTCTGTTGTTGTTAGCGCTAGTCAGAACGATATACCAATTGCGAGAAAGGCTGTAACATCAAGCTCTACATCCTCCGGATCGATCTCCCAGTAGCTCTAACACCACTTTCACGCGACGTCGTACGTATCAGCAGGAGCTAGATGTCGAGTGACCCCTACGTTCCTCTCGTATGAAAAGGAACTCCTGGGGGCACGTAAAATAGTCTCCTGTAATCTCATCGACCGAGCCTTTATTCTAGCTCTGTTGATTACTTGAAATATATCAATATTCTCAACACGTTAGCTATACGTACGTGTACTACGGTATTGCATCTCCTACCAACCTCACTCAGAAAAGTGCATCTACCAACCCTACCAACATCACCCCAAAAAGTTAATCCACAGCCTCTATAAGTACTGCCTGTAAGATGTAAGAGATAAGAGCTGCAGACTCACATTGCCCTCGAATATATGTGGATTCCGGGCCCTCTGGTAGGTGGGGGTCGTCAGTTCTGATAAAAATAAAAAAATAAAAAAAAGAAGAAGAAGAAGAAGAAGAAGAAGAAGCGCAGATTAGCATTGCATGACTTATTCCCGGCAGTACCGGGTTCCGCTCGGTGGAGGGCCGGCCAGCATGATGATGAGGCCTTCTGTGGGCAGTTATGCGTCCGGTATGTTTCAAGCCGGCATAGCTCAATTGATCAACGCCTGGAGATGGCCTCTCCGTTTTGTGTAGGTATGTATATCACGTGCACCGTCGGTGGAGCCAGCTAAATCCATATCTCTTTCATAGCACAGAAACGTAGAGCAGATTCACTCTATATTGCGTCATGTTTCACTATAGGTAGTACTCTTATTTTCTTTTTTAAATTAATAAGGAGTATTCTTTACATGTATGTATATAACTGACTACACCCCCAACCCTGAAACAAAAAGCCCACCACCCCAATTCTCAATTCTTCCAACCATCACTTTCATAAACCAACACTTCGGACACATATCAGGACTCCTAGATATATACCGCTCTTTTCTCTCTCTTTTTTCATTCATTTGATTCTTACAGTTCATCATAGATCGTCTTAATATCTAATACACTTTGAAGTTACTATCTATATATATACTGTAAGTAATATAGTCTAAAATCCCTCTTTGAACTTTCTAGCAAGCTCAATCACCCTTCTCTATCAATTTCACAAGTTCATTGGAATTTATGGATTTCCTTGTCCTTCCTTCAGTATGGGCGCAAATCATCAAGTTAGACATTGGCGATTAGGCATTCGTGATATAGTATGATGTACCTCGGCATGAAAAACAGACCACTAGGCTTGTTGGCAATGCTTATCAATTGGTTCATGCATGAACGACCCCAACCCCGCCGTGCCACGCAACTGATAAGCAGCCAAGAACGATACATGTATCGAGCTCTAACAAGAGAGTCAAAGTCAATGTTTGGCATCTAATTATTATGCATTTTTCAAACGAGGGACATTTTACTGATAGCTGTAAACCTTATAATAGGCCGTATTCATCCAACCATACTAGTCACAAATCTCCGTCTCTGGTGACTCCACGTTTGCTCTAGGCATCGCTTGCATCACGGTTTGTGGCTTTCATTCTTTCTTGATTGCCAAAGACTGAATCGGCGTATATCTTCAAAAGACATAGGACTTCATGATCCGGTCCTATTACGTTGGTCGGAGCCAAAATATTGCCGATCTCCGGGAAGCTTCTAAAGTCGCCTTATCACTTCCTGACTTTAGGAATATCCTGTGGATCGGTGTTTTTGGGTCGTTTTCCCGGGACCAGCAGGGGGATAGAAGTGACGTCGATATCATAGTTCTCGAAAGGTCAGACAGTGAAGTTGAGTTGGAGGAGAGCAGGGAAGAAGGAGAGGATGCTATCGACTTGGACCCATGGACACTTGAGGATCTCCTCCCGAGGGTCTGGTGTAGACCCGTCCAAATTGTGCGTATTGAAAAACAAGAACTACACGGACTTGTTTCCGTGGACGCCCTCCTGACCGCTCGAACTATTCACGGCAATGATCAATGCGAAGAGATTTTGAAGCTTCGTCAGGACGCCAGGAGCTATCTGGAGCAAGGCTGGTCCGTCTTCAAAACGGCGGAAGCAGAGATCGAAATATTGAAATCAAAGGTGGAGAGCATTGGAGGTTTCGAAGTAAGTTGGAGTGCCTTTTCTCTCCAGCTGCTTACCCCAACTTGGTTATTAAATGTTTCATCTTGTTTAAGGAATTCGCAAAGTCACCGTCTCTCCAGCAGTCTGTCCGTGACGACCTACTCCATATTATAAAGGGTTTCGATATAAAACCCGTATGGCATCCCATCCACGAAGGATTCTGGACGGCCGTCATACAACCCGCAAACGAGCTGCAAAAGATTATCACCACGAACCAGGACGGTCCTGATTATTGGAAGGGCGTATGGGAAATCCTTACTGCTTCATCTCCCAAAAGCGTCCAAAGTATCTTGATGAGATTGAAGAAGTTTGTGTTTCCTACCCTCACTGATATCGAGGAACGTATCAAGCTCTCCGAAAGATTAGAGCACGAAGCACCAACAGAACAATCAGCAATACCGCTAGCACAAGCAGCAGAAGCAGCAGATAATGAAAACCAAATCTCCACAATCAGACAAGCAGAGGAGATATCCGAAACTAGGAAAGAGTCGGTTGAGGTACCGATAACAACAAAGCAGCCTCGGAAGGAGAGCGGTCTGAAACGACGATGGAAGAAGTTCAAGGCACGTCTACGCCTCTAAGGAAGCGATTTACACAAGAAACGAAATTTTTCATATGTTTAGACACAAGGCTAGAGAATATCAGAGTTGGGTTACGTTTAGATTTCTATAGATACTACATGCGACATAATTGAAATATGATCGCGATGAGTGTGTGCTGTAAGGCTGGTAGGCGCATTGGTAGAATATTTCTTATTCAAAGGTTATCTTTATTACTCCATACTTGTTAATTATAATGTTTAATCCTCTTATTATTTCTTATTAGTTAAAATATACTCCTAAGAAGTTGCTGTTTTCAAAAGAAGATTTGAAGTAATGCCTTTTCAGTAATTTCTTACAGGATCACTGTGTTTTCAATTTCTATTGGCTAGCTCCTCTCGCGCCTATAGCTCGTTCCTCATTCAGTTTGAAATAACGTTTTCATTACGTCCACCCTGCTGTATATTCATGGACTATGAAGTAGAAGAAATGTCCAGGCCCCCCACCCCCACTTCCTGCCCCTTACTCTCCACCCGCGGGGTGTATCTATGTAACCTTATGTGAAGCCCCTAAAGAAATAGTGGTGCTCCGCTCAAACTGGAGTCTTCCGCCTGAGAATGAGTATAAAGTTCCATGTGCTTTGATCCTATTTCGATCTACAGTCGTCGTCGATCCAGAGCTCGAGATCCAAAGCGTCGAAACATCCCAACTGAGGAAGTTACTCCGCGGAGGTGTCTGGAGATCAACAAAGTTATGAATCTCCAATAAAACCTCTGCTTCTTGTCCCCCTACCTGCTCGGCACGATCCAGCAAAATCGATATATGTAGGTCCGTTTTTCCACGCGAACTGGGCATTTCTTTGAATTATATACCACGAAGGCAGAATTAATGCTAATCTTCGCTTCGTTTATGTGACTTACGGGATATATCACTACGCCGTTATAGCCTAGTACGTCCTGGCTTCATGTTAACGGACAAATGGGCGAGATCCGAGGGTACGGCAGTTACAACATCTGCTGTGCTTCGTGTTGGGGCTCCTATATTGGGGGCCATATTCCCTGTTGTTAATATTATAACACCAGGGCTATACTGGATGCCTCTAGATCTATGTATCTCCAAGCAAGGTTAACTGCAAATTATAGCAAGTTTGTACTCTAAATCAACCCAACTTAATCTAGTCTCGTACCCATCCCATAGTGAGCAGCAAGCTACTCACCCATTACGCCTCCCTCTCTCTCACCTATTTCACCGAGCTACAGGCTTATCTTTTGAGAGGTATACTGGTCGAAAACACCGCTATGGTGTATAGATAGCTCGTACATAATGTATGAGAAAGAACCAACTGTGGTTATTGCAAAACCTTTTTTGTATATGTACACCAGGCCATAAACCTCCCCGCTCATAGGAATCCTCTTGTCAGACAATATTGTCGACGAGAGTGAGATTGACTTGACGTTAAGAATGAGTGTTTGCGTCTCGGGCCTTGCCTAACCTGAAAGAACACTCGTCAGAACGTTGTGTATAACATGTTTCAACATATGGCAATCGAATGGGGTTTGGATGTTGTTACTCGTGAGACAGCTAGTGAATCGAACTTTCCGCTAACTCCTGTGAACAAACGGGGGCGATGAGATCGAAGTTCAACAGCCCTTTCCTGCTAACTCTATAGCCTCCCCTGACAATGAGCTCATTGATTCTGCACATCTTTATGAGTCTTGTATCCCCAATCGCGGAAGCCTTGAAACCGAGCTCTGACAAGTAGGCACTTGTACAGTTACAATATGAAAGCCGTACCCGTGGTGGCCAACGTCACGAGTCTCACTTCGTGTCAGATATATTCCATTTTGTTCGAAGACGGGGATATGTAGTTGAGAGACAAGCCTCAAAGCTCAGATATAGCCATCTTTTATTACCCGATGTATGACAAAAGTGGCTTTCGGGGTTCCAAAACCCTTAAACCCCGTTCTCCGGGATTCACTTGAATCAGAAAGGGAAGAGCGTTTTAATCTTTTGGATCTTTTAAGGCGTGACACGCGTTTCGCCAGGTTTTAAGATTTTGCAACCATATGGCCAGTGTAGGATATATAGTCCCGGATTGTTGGTGAACTGCATTGAAGAAAGATTAACAAAGCTGATAGGCCCGGGAAGAGGGGCCTTTAAGGCTAGCTATGTAGCTGGGGAGGAGTAACTTCCTATTGTCAAGTGCGGTTTGAAACGCATAAACGCGGGGCTACACTGATTTATCCGTTATTTTCAGGAGGCTAAACGTCATCTCAAACAGGGGATTATTCTTGCCATGTAAAAGAGGGGTACGTATTTACATGTTTCATCCAGTTCCCCGCGCCCCCCGCATCTCCTTATATGGCCGAGTACATTCTAGAAAATCAATCACTTGTCTCATATGCATCCCGATTCCGCAATCACACTGCATAATATGTAGGTACAGCGACCGGAATGATCTATGGAAAAAAAGGGGGGTGAAGTTGTATGGCGAAATATTTGTGCACCATATAACTGTTTTTTCCATAGCTCATTCCTATCGCTGTACAAACTTTCCTCACATACCAGGATTAATTAACCTTGTCTCATGAGTCATGACGCAAGATAATGAATGTAACACAACGTTATAAATCACTTCCTGTGCCATATTCCCAGTTTATGAATACATAGATAAGTCCCGGATTTGGGTATTTCCCCAGCAAGCAGCGCGGCTCTAGCCAATTCGAAATACCTGTACGTATGGTGCGTTACCGAGCTCCATCAGCTCTTCCTGAGAAACATATAGATCGATTGCGTATCCAGCTAAAGTACTAATTATATAATGGTCTATTATTATAGGGTTACAAAATTAACCGATCACTCACGAACTTCTTGCTTGCTTTTGAAGAGTATGCAATGGCAGACCAGAGAGCATATACTCTTACTAATCCCGTAGTAACTCGCCCTTGAAGCGGAATATGAATGGCTCAGCACTACCATTAGGGATAGCTTAAAATGAATCCATTAAGCGCTTGTAAGGAGCGCGCTCAAAATGTTTGGGTACGAGATAGGAAACAGCAAACATTTAATTAGATATTTATGAAAATAAAGCCAAGGACTCTCCTTTAGTTACATGTTGTAGGCGCCAATTCACTGGCTTTCTCCTAGCAATTTCGAATGATCTTCGAGTGGTGGGTTTCAACTGATTCTATATCACGTGCACGCACGAGTGAGGATTCGTGATTGAAGCAAACACCAATCCGATAGCCCTACTTGTAGGGAACGGTATAGCAGTGAATTATGTCCTATGCGTGAATCCCAAATGATATAAGAATAGTTTGTTATGTTGTAGAGCACCAGGAATCTATGTATGCTCTAGTTGTGCTACTCGCACCTTGGTTGGCGGAGAGCGGAAACCCTGACCCTGCATACCAACCAGCCCCCAACAGTATGTCCAGTACTACAGTAATAGTACCGCCCCCAATCTTTCAGCTAGTAGGCCTAGCAAACTATGGAAAGCTTGTATTAACTAGGTTAACAAAGAAACTAAATTCACTGCAAGAAAAATAAGTAAGTGAGCGGAGCTGATGACGAGCTCTATGAACGAGGAATCTAAGAGATGGAGACGTATATACATAACGGGGGACGTAAACACGTACAACATAAACGGAGTATAGGGTAATATTGGAGGATTTCCCGTAGGCGATAGAAGCTGTTCTATTGCTATTTAGGTTCTATTCTAGGTTGCAACGGATACAACATGGGGTTTCTATCACAGCCAGTTGTCTATCATTAGGACCCCCCTCGAGCTTTTGCTCCTTCTATATGATTTCTATTGATGGTTGCAACTAATCCAATCCCTGCACCTTCCACAACTGGATTAGTGATCGAATAGAACAGAGAGATCTTTATTTACTTACGGGAAACCACTAGTCTCGTTCCCAGACTGTTTTGTCTGCCTGCAAATCAAGGCAAACACAGGCACGAGACTAGGAAACCACCTTTGTTTTTGGTTACTTCTATCCTATCGAATAGAAGAAAAGTAGGAATAGAACAGCTTCTATAGCCTGCGGGAGGCCCCCCATTAGCGATGGGTTTAAAATACTCGAGAAGTATAACTAACCGAGTGGGACGAGAGACACTTCATATTAATAGAAGAGCTAAAGCCCTACTAATGAGAGATTGAAAGGTATCACCAACTGCCGGCATTAAAGAGACAAATCTATAAAAATAAAAACATAAAAGTATAAAATATAATTCTCGAGTTGATATTTATAGGATAGGAGCTGTGCCCGTACGAACTTGTGTTCAGGTCGTTCGTTGTGACGTTAATCGGTGGGATAACTCCACAACAAGGTACCCCGCACATTTTATTCTCACTCCTCTTTACCCGTTCAGGAATGCTTAACCCAACCTGCACAAGCTTATGGTCTCAAAACCGTAATATTATAAAACTACTTTTGCTGCTTGTTGGCCAACACTCCAAGTGGACCAATTGGCCAAACTCCACCATGGAGTAGTATACGTATATAAGGGATGGCATATACCTGGCTGAAAGCACCCAGGAAATCGAAATAAACTTGAAATCCAAATTCAATCACCATCTTCATTGCAAAATTACTACTAAGGTTCGGGCTTTTATTTCGCCATATCCCGTACAACGCAAAGAATAAAGACCGTCTCCCGACTCTCCCTTTAAAAAGCCGTTCCTTCGATCGACCCTTATCTCACATCCTCAGGGCGAGTGATTGAAAGGTGCAGTAACTTATATAAGAAACAACCAAGCTAAATCCCATATTCAATGGCGGTCCAGCACTTAGAGTTGATAGATCTCTGTCTAAGAGTATTCATACCCAGCGCCTCGAGACTTAGTATTCTTGAAATAGGGCGCTCGGCACGTTTCATAGTTCTGGAAGATTCTCACCATTTCATTATAGTATTTGTCATCGGCGTATGACTCACTTTCCTATTAGTCATTGTATTTACTCACACGTCCATGACTCATTGTATTTCTCTTTGTACTACCTTTCATTAGTATAAATACGGGGCATTCCCCCTTAGCT